TTCTTGGAACCCTTGCTTGTGAACCTGTTCTTGCGAACCTTGCTTGGGAACCTGGTCTACGCTGTTGAGAAAAAGGTTCCTAACCAAGTTCCCAGGAAGAGGCCCCCAAGCAGGTATCCAGGAAGAGGTTCCCAAGCAAGGTTAGGTTCTTAGGAACCGCTTGCAAGTACGGTTCCCAAAAAAGGGTTCCCAAGCAAGGTCCCAGGAACCGTTTCCAAGCAAGGTTCCAAGCAGGAACAAGGCTCGCGGGAACAGGTTCTCAAGCAAGCGCCCCCAGGAAGAGCTGGTTCCAAAGGAAAATTTCCAGGAGCAACTGGGAACCCTTGCTTGCGAACCTCTTCCTGGGAACCTTGCTTGAGAACCTCTTCCTAGCAAGCTTGCTTGAGAAGCTATTCCTGGGAACCTTGCTTGGGAACCTTTTCCTGGAAACATTGCCTGGGAACTTTTTCCGGTAACCTTACTTGTGAACCTGTTCTTGGGAAACTTGTTTGGGAACCTGTTCCTGGGAACCTGTTGCTGGGAACCTTGCTTGGGAACCTCTTCCTGGGAACCTTGCTTGGGAACGTGCTGGGGAACCTGGCTTGTGAACCTGTTCTTGGGAACCTTGTATGGGCGCCTGTTCCTGGGAACCTGTGGCTGGGAGCCTTGCTTGGGAACCCCTTCCTGAAAACATTGCTTGGGAACCAGCTTGCTGGGAACCACCTCTTCCTGGAAACCTCTTCCTGGAAACACTTGTTTGAAAACCTGTTCTGGGAACTTTGTTTTGCTTGGAAAATCATGTTCCTGGAAATCTTGCTTGGGAAACTTGCTGGGAACCTTGCTTGGGAACCTGTTCCTGGAAACCTCTTCCTGCAAACCCTTGCCTGGGAACCTCCTGAGAACATTGCTTCAGAACCTCTCTTTCTCGGAACCCTTGCTTGGGAACCTCTTGCTGGGAACCCTTGCCTGGGAACCCTTGCTCGGGAACCTGTTCCTGGGAACCTTGCTTGGAACCTTTTGGGAACCTTGCCTGGGAACCTCTTCCTGGGAACCTCTTGCTGGGAACCCTTGCTTGGGAATCTGTTCCTGGCAACCTTGCCTGGGAACCTTGCTTGGGAACCTTGCTGGGAAACTCTTCCTGGGAACCTTGCTTGGGAACCTTGCTTGGGAACCCTGCTTGGGAACCTGTTCCTGGAACCCTTGCTTGGGGACCTGTTCCTGGGAACCTTACTTGGGAACCTGTTCCTGGGAACCTTGCTTGGAAACCTTGCTTGGGAACCTTGCTTGGGAACCTCTTCCTGCCAACCTTGCTGGGGAACCTCTTCCTGGGAACCCGGTTCCCAACCTTGCGCCGTGCGGATTTGGCTGCTCCGAGGGATTCTCTTGGAAAAGGAAACCCTTCCTGGGAACCCGGTCCCAACCTTGCGCCGTGCGGATTTGGCTGCTCCCACCTGCTCCGGAACCTTTACTATGGCTGAAGACCCCAAGCTTGAGACGCACTACTAACCCTTACAAGCGTTTTGGCTGACAGCTTATTCTGTTGGGGGAAAAAAGCCTCTAAAACTAGACGACGGATGGCCCGAGAGCGTAGAGGAGCAGGGTCTTCTGTTGTTAGTATTGAGACACTATATTACAAGACAATATATAAAAGATCTATTGTAGGCAGACGAGAAGAGGGATATCAAGACAATATTTTGCAAGTACAAGACAATAGTTTGCATCGTATCCTTCGTATAGTTTTTCACACACAGAACCTTTTACACACAGACACTTTTGCACACAGAAGCTTTTACACACAGACACTTTTACACACAGAGACTTTTACACACAGACGCTTTTACACACAGACACTTTTACACACAGACGCTCTTACACACAGAAGCTTTTACACACAGACACTTTTACACACAGACACTTTTACACACAAACACTTTCACACACAGAGACTTTTACACACAGAAGCTTTTACACACAGACGCTTTTACACACAGACGCTTTTACACACAGAAGCTTTTACACACAGAGACTTTTACACAAAGACGCTTTTACACACAGACGCTTTTACACACAGACGCTTTTACACACAGAAGCTTTTGCACACAGAAGCTTTTACACACAGACACTTTTACACACAGAAGCTTTTACACACAGACGCTTTTACACACAGACACTTTTACACACAGACGCTTCTACACGCAAACACTTGCACACACACAGAGACTTTTACACACAGACGCTTTTACAAATAGACGCTTTTACACACAGACGCTTTTACACACAGAAGCTTTTACGCACAGAAGCTTTTACACACAGAGGCTTTTACACACAGACACTTTTTACACACAGACGCTTTTACACACAGAAGCTTTTGCACACAGAAGCTTTTACACACAGAAGCTTTTACACACAGAAGCTTCTACACAGAAGCTTTTACACACAGAAGCTTTTACACGCAGACCCTTTTACACAGACGCTTTTACACACAGACGCTTTTACACACAGACACTTTTACACACAGACACTTTTACACACAGAAGCTTTTACACACAGACACTTTTACACACAGACGCGTATACACACAGAAGCTCTTACACACAGACGCTTTTACACACCGAGGCTTTTACACACAGACGCTTTTACACACAGACTCACACACAGAGACTTTTACACACAGACGCTTTTACACACAGACGCTTTTACACACAGACGCTTTTACACACAGACGCGTTTACACACAGACGCTTTTTCACACAGACGCGTTTACACACAGACGCTTTTACACACAGACGCGTTTACACACAGACGCTTTTGCACACAGACGCTTTTACACACATACGCTTTTACACACAGACGCGTTTACATACAGACTCTTTTACACATAGACGCGTTTACACACAGACGCTATTACACACAGACGCTTTTACACACAGACATTATTACACACAGACGCTTTTACACACAGACGCTTTTACACACAGAAGCTTTTACACACAGAAGCTTTTACACACAGAGCCTTCTACACACAGATGCATTTTCACACAGACACTTTTACACACAGATGCTTTTACATGCAGACCCTTTTACACAGAGACGCTTTTACACACAGACATGCACAGACACTTTTACACACAGACACTTTTGCACACAAACAGTTTCACACAAAGAGACTTTTACACACAGACGCTTTTACACACAGACGTGTTTACACACAGACGCTTTTACACACAGAAGCTTGTACACACAGACGCTTTTACACACAGACGCTTCTACACGCAAACACTTGCACACACAGAGACTTTTACACACAGACGCTTTTACACAGATGCGTTTACACACAGACGCTTTTACACACAGACGCGTTTACACACAGACGCTTTTACACAGATGCGTTTACACACAGACGCTTTTACACACAGACGCGTTTACACACAGACGCTTTTACATACAGACGCTTTTACACACAGACGCTTCTACATACAGACGCATTTGCACACAGACACTTTTACACATAGACACGTTTACACACAGACGCTTTTACACACAGAAGCTTTTACACACAGAAGCTTTTACACACAGAGGCTTTTACACACAGACGCTTTTTCACACAGACACTTTTACACACAGATGCTTTTACACGCAGACCCTTTTACACAGAGACGGTTTTACACACAGACACTTTTCCACACAGACGCTTTTACACACAAACACTTTCACACACAGAGACTTTTACACACAGAAGCTTTTACACACAGGCACGTTTACACACAGAAACTTTTACACACAGACGTGTTTACACACAGACGCTGACACACAGACGCGTTTACACACAGGGTTACCGCGGAGGTTGTAAAATCGCAGTTTTACCTCAGTTTTTGGTGATCGAACCTCATTTCGTGCGAAAAAGTTGTCGCGGCACACTCAATTTTGCAATTTTATTGCAGTTTTTGGCGATCGAACCTCATTTCGTGTGAAAGGGTTGTCTCGGCACACTCAAAATCACAATTTTACCGCAGGTTTTGGCGATCGAACCTCGTTTTGTGCGAAAGGGTTGTCGCGGCACACTCAAAATCGCAATTTTATTGCAGTTTTTGGCGATCGAACCTCGTTTCGTGCGAAAGGGTTGTCGCGGCGCATTCAAAATCGCAATTTTATCGCAGTTTGTGGCGATCGAACCTCACGTCGTGGGAAAGGGTTGTCGCGGCACACTCAAAATCGCAATTTTACTGCAGTTCTTGGCGATCGAACCTCGTTTCGCGCGAAAGGGTTGCGTTTCGTGCCGTCTCGTTGGCACTGCCCCGCGCCTTCAAGAGAGAAAAAGAAACGAAGGAGAGAGCAAGAGGGCAAGAGAGCAAGAGGGCAAGCGGGCAAGAGAGCAAGAGGGCAAGAGAGCAAGAGGGCAAGAGAGCAAGAGGGCAAGAGAGAATTTGAAGATGTGAAGATGTGAAGATGTGAGGATGTGAAGATGCGAGCATGTGAAGATGTGAAGATGAGAAGATGTGAAGATGAGAAGATGTGAAGATGTGATGTGAAGATGAGAAGATGTGAAGATGAGAAGATGTGAAGATGTGGGGATGTGAAGATGTGGGGATGGGAGGATGTGAAGATGTGAAGATGTGAAGATGTGAAGATGTGAGGAGGTGATGAGGATGTGAAAATGTGAAGATGAGAAGATGTGAAGATGAGAAGATATGAAGATGAGAAGATGAAGATGTGAAGATGAGCAGATGTGAAGATGAGAAGATGTGAGGATGTGATGAGGATGTGAAAATGCGAAAATGCGAAGATGAGAAGATGTGAAGATGAGAAGATATGAAGATGAGAAGATGTGAAGATGAGAAGATGTGAAGATGTGAGGATGTGAAGATGCGAGGATGTGAAGATGTGAAGATGAGAATGTGAAGATTTGAAGATGTGATGTGAAGATCTGAAGCTGTGAAGATGTGAAAATGTTTGACAGACCCCCACTATTAGAAGAACCCTCCGCTCAGACGCTCTCGGGAATTATCCACCCCTTGACCAAGGCTGAGCGAAATGGCCAATCCCTGCCGCATGGCGACAGATGCCCTGCGACATGTGACACCTCAGGCAACCTTGCAGGACTTTTACCTTTGGAGGGCAACACTTGCATTTGCTTAAAGAGACCCCAACCTACAAAAGCAGGTGGATGAGTTTTTGAAAGCTAATGTTATCCACTGATGTTGTGGGTTGGGGTCCCACTCTCTTTTGAACATCCAAAATTTTTTGTTTTTGTTTTTTCAAACGGCTTTGGCGATTGAAACTGCCTCCATACCAGGGTTATACCATTTGACGAGTTGTGATTGAACCACAGTGAAAACTAAAGGCAAATGACATGCAGCCCATGGTGTGACATATAAGATATGCGGTAGATGCTATGGTTGCCTGTGTGGATCTTATATTATGTGTTCGATCTTGTGTGTTCCAAGGAAACGGATCAGCGGTGGAAGCAATTCGCACGCCTCCAACTAGCAGCCCGTGCCCTCCTCAAGCCAAAAGAGCTTGAAGCTTTGAAGGTGAAAACTATTTCAAGAAACTTGTCTGAGGAATGGCCGTGCTCAAACTCTGCAGACTTTGCGCATTTCTCGGATTGATTTAGTCAGCAGGAGTTGTAATCGAAGCATACCCAACCCCTTTTAGTCTGTTAGACCACTAAATCTGAGGTGTTGCCGAAGAAGTAAATCTTTACCCAGTTGCTTTGTGTATATACAACCCAATATTTCACTCCCTTCTCAAACTGTGGCTGAAGGACATTTGTCAGACGGGCCCGCTGACCCCAATGCGTGTGCGGCAAGTAGGCGCCTTTCTATTCGTGACATCAAGGAGCCAAGTTGCAATGGATGCGATGGAAGCTCTGGGCACGCGGATGAAATGCCGACCAACGAAGGTACGAGCTTGAGGTGCTTCGTAGACAAATCCCGCAGTTGGAAGAGAAACCTTTTGATGTTGGCCACAATTGCCACAGTTCTTGGCTATATTTCCTAGGAGCTAAGATAGAGTGTATTTGCTTGACTTTAGGGGATCGACCAAAGATAACAAACACAAACAAGGATAAACCCGGTCATTGGGAAGCCATTGCAAGGGATCAATTCACTGCTGTGCCACTCGACTCAGGAAGACACCCGTTTGCACCAAGCTGTGTGCAAGCTGGTTTTAGTTGGACAGATTGGTCAAAATGCTTGGCATGGAGCACTTCAGACTGCAACAATGGTGAAGGACAAGACCAAGCACCTCTTTCCGACAGAGAGGCTTGGTATGGCATTTTGTAGCAAGCAGATAGTCTGAAGCTTTTTAGCTTGGAGGTCATGAAGAAAGAGTTAACCATTCTGTGAAAAGAAGATGGCATTTTACCTGTGAAGGCACACTAAGATGTCTTTTTACCTCAGATGAAAAAGGTGGCGTCACCTTGCAGGTAAGTGTCCGCCTCTTCGCCTGAGTCATCCTGTTTTGCCTGGCATCAGTTCTGTTTCGGGCAATTGGGCAATTGGGTAAGTGGAAATCAAGGGTAGCCTCCCACTCCTTCCCAGTCCTTCCTACTCCTTCCCAGTCCTTCCTGGTCCTTCCCAGTCCTTCCTGGTCTCCTTCCCAGTCCTTCCTACTCCTTCCCGGTCCTTCCCGGTCCTTCCTAATTCCGGGTCCTTCCCAACTTTTCCTACTCCTTCCCAATCCTTCCTAGTCCTTCCCAGTCCTTCCTACTCCTTCCCGGTCCTTCCCCACCCAAGGTCTTCCCAGTCCTTCCTTCCTCCTTCCTACTCCTTCCCATCCTTCCTACTCCTTCCCAGTCCTTCCCTTCCAGCTCCTATCCCAATCCTTCCTCAGTCCTTCCTGGTCCTTCACAGTCCTTCCTACTCTTTCCCAGTCCTTCCTAGTTTTTCCCATTTTTTTTGCCAGTCCTTCCCAGTCCTTCCTAATCCTTCCCAATCCTTCCTTCCCGAGGCTTTGTCCCTCCTTGTCTCCAGCTTCTCTCCCTTCTCGTTTCCCTTCCTTGGATGGTGTGTCTGCCTTCCCGAGGTCTTCCCCCCCCCTGTCTCCCATTGTCTCCCTTCTTGTTTCCCTTTGTTGGATGGTGTGTCCGCCTCCCGGAGGGTCTTGTCTCCCTTTGTCTCCCATTCTACCCCTTCTTGTTGATGGTGTGTCCCGAGGTCTTGTCTCCCCTTGTCTCCTTCTTGTTTCCATTTGTTGGATGGTGTGTCCGCCTTCCCGAGGCTTTGTCTGCCTCCTCGCAGCTCTCCCAGCTTGTCTTCCTTTTTTGTTGGATGGCGTGCCGGTCTTCCCGAGGCCTTGTCTCCCGTTGTCTCCCATTGTCTCCCATTGTCTCCCTTCTTGTTTCGTTTGTTGGATGGTGTATCCGCCTTCCCAAGGTATTGTTCCCCTTGTCTCCCTCCAGGTTTCCCTTTGCTGGATAGTGTGTCCGCCTTCCCAAGGCCTTGTCTGCTGTGTCCGCCTCCCGGAGGGTCTTGTCTCCCTTTGTCTCCCATTCTACCCCTTCTTGTTTCCCTTTGTTTGATGGTGTGTCCCGAGGTCGTCTCCCCTTGTCTCCTTCTTGTTTCCATTTGTTGGATGGTGTGTCCGCCTTCCCGAGGCTTTGTCTGCCTTCTCGCAGCTCTCCCAGCTTGTCTTCCTTTTTTGTTGGATGGCGTGCCCGTCTTCCCGAGGCCCAAGCCTTGTCTCCCTGTCTCCCAGCTTGTCTACCAGCTTTGCTTGTCTCCCAGCTTGTCTTCCTTCTTGCTTCCCTTTGTTGGATGGTGTGCCCGCTTGTCTCCTCGCTTGTTACCCAGCTTGTCTGCCAGCTTGTTTCCCAGCTTGTCTCCCAGCTTATCTCCCAGCTTGACTCTCAGCTTGTCTTCCAGGCGGTCTCCCAGCTTGTCTCCCTGCTTGTCTCCCTGCTTGTCTCCCAGCTTGTCTCCCAGCTTGTCTCCCAGCTTGTCTCCCAGCTTGTCTCCCAGCTTGTCTTCCAGCTTGTCTTCCTTTTTGTTTTCCTTTGCTCGATGGTGCGTCCGCCTTCCCAAGGCTTTGTCACCTTGTCTCGCAGCTTGTATCCTAGCTTGTCTCCCTTCTTGTTTTCCTTTGTTTGATGGTGTTTCCGCCTTCCAGCTTGTCTTCCTTCTTGTTTCCCTTTGTTGATGGTGTGTCCGCCTTCCCAGGGCCTTGGTTCCCTTCAACTTGTCTCCCAGCTCGTTTTCCTTCTTGATCTTCTTATTTCCCTTGGTTGGATGGTGTGTCCGCCTTCCCGAGGCTTTGTCTCCCTTCTCAGCTTGTCTTCCTTCTTGTTTCCCTTAGTTGGATGGTGTGTCCACCTTCCCGAAGCCTTGTCTGCCTTGTCTCCCTTGTCTCGCTTGTTCCTTCTTGTTTCCCTTTGTTTCTCGATACCCAGTGTTGCGACAAAGCTAGCGAAGCCGAAAACAATAAACGTGAAGCGGTCGGCACTTATTGCAGACATTATCAGGATTCCTGTCGTCGCTATTTCATGTGTTTGACCTGTTCCTCACAGCACTTTTCCACCCACTGTTTGGGGTCTACGGTGGTGTAATTCAGCAACTGCCAAAGCACTCAGGAAAGCTCATGAGTTGGCACCTGCGAGCTGTGCAAAAGTCAGTGAACTGGTGGATGTGTTCTGCAAGATCACTGGAGTTGGCGAGGATGAGCCCACCATGGCGTCCCAAAGAGACTTCCAGGACAGGACAGGTCCAAGAGTTGGGCAATAGCTCCTAAACCAACCCTAAATAAGTTTAAACAGACAAAATTACTTTACTTCGTGTGATCCCCACCATGACATTAACATTTATCCATTTTGTTACTGGCAAATCTTCTGGCATTCTATCTGACATATCTCCTGGCATTCTATCTGGCATTCTATCTGGCATATCTTCTGGCATTCTACCTGGTATATCTTCTGGCATATCTTCTGGCATTCTATCTGGCATATCTTCTGGCATATTATCTGGCAAATCTTCTGGCATTCTATCTGGCAAACATTCTGGCACTTTATCTGGCATATCTTCTGGCATTCTATCTGGCATACCTTCTGGCATTCTATCTGGCATATCTTCTGACATTCTATCTGGCATATCTTCTGGCACTCTATCTGGCATATCTTATAGCATTTTATCTGGCATATCTTCTGGCATTATCTGGCATTCTATCTGACATTCTATCTGGCATATCTTCTGGCATTCTATCTGGCCGTTGAGGTCCAGCGGTGCGCACTGCGCTGGGAAGGTCCCAGGTTGAGGCCCAGCGGTGCGCACTGAGCTCGGAAGGTCCCAGGTTGAGGTCCAGCGGTGCGCACTGAGCTGGGAAGGTCCCAGGTTGAGGTCCAGCGGTGCGCACTGAGCTGGGAAGGTCCCAGGTTGAGGTCCAGCGGTGCGCACTGAGCTGGCAAGGTCCCAGGTTGAGGTCCAGCAGCGCGCACTGAGCTCAGAAGTTGGCGAAGAGTTGGCAAGGCGGAAGTGGAGGTGGAAGTTGATGCAGACATGGTCGAGGAGAAACTGGAGGAGGAGGCGGAGGAGGAGGGGGCGGAGGACAACAGCTCTGATAAAATCTAACAACCCTCACCTGGCAGGTGGGGAAAAAACCTAAACCAACCCTAAATAAACCCTAAACATCCCTAAGCCAACCCTAAACAAACCCTAGACAAACCCGAACCGTAAATGCATTTTAAATCAGCCCAAATAACCATTAAATCAACCCTAAATAAAACCTAAACCCAAACTTCGAAACCAACCCTAAATAAAACTTTAAACCTCAAAACCAACTGTAAGTAAACCGCAAACCAACCCTAAACAAACCCTAGCCCTAAACCAACCCTAAACCAACCCTCAAAATCCAGTAGAAAAAATATATAGATAAACCCTAAACCGTCCTTACCCTAAAACCGTACCCTAAGGCAACCCTAAACCAACCTTCAAACAAACCCTAAACCAACCCTAACCAACCGCAAACCAACATATTGCAAATACCATGCGCATGAGAGATCCATGTTGCCATGCTCCAAGATGTTGCAATGCCATCCGAGTGAGAGATCCAAACTCTTAAATACTGCAAATACCATGCTAATGCAAGATCCAATCTCCAAAATGCTGTGAATAGCACACAATTGAGAAATCTAAACTCCAAAATGCTGCAACTACCAGGTAAAACCAACTCGTCCAGAAAACAGGAAAAATCCCAAAAAGAAACGGAAAACAACTCTCCCCACAAAAAAACAACCCTCTTTAAAATCCAAATCTGAAAGCTCGGTCCCGTTGGGTGGTGATTTGTGATCGGTACATGTCGAGATCCAGAACTTGCAGTACATGCTTAAAATTGTTTAAATTTCAACTTGTAAAGATGGATTCGGTGATTTTGTGGGTGCACACAGAGATACCATCTTGATTGCTGGTTTTTGTGTCATTGCACGATGTTTTCATAGATACTACGCAACTCTTTATCGTGTAGGCCCTTGAAAGTAGAGGGAGGTACTGCTCGTATCACTGTCTTTGTTTATTTTGATTGTACCGAACGCAATCTCAATTCGGATCCTTAGTTTGCACATTCTGCACGTTCCTGCCACAGACAGGTCTGGAGATACTCCGTTTTGCTGAGAGATTGGATTGAAAACCCTGCAGGACATGGAATGGATTGTATTGGATTGTCATGGGCAACAAATCGACACAGTTTAAGTTTCACCTAGCAGAGTGGGTTTGTTCCCTTGAAGCCTCAAGCATGAGCTTGACTCCGAACAGACAGCTTGAGTGGCAAAATGCAGAATACGTGTCATGTAGAGGCAGGAATCAGAGATAGTCCAGGAATTATGTTGCAGGATCTTCTCTTTTTGCCATTGGTGAATCTGTGCAGTGGCAGCTTCATCATCTCTGGCGAACGATTCCGCCTCTCTTTGTGCTTGAGTTGTCGTCAGGTGAAGCGTCTCTTGACCCTCTTTGTTTTTTGAACCTTTTTTTTTTTGTCCACATGGATGCAAACTTTTGCACTTGTACTCTTGCCCTTTTGCCCTTTTGTCCTTTAGCCCTTTGCCCTTTTGCCATCGTTTCTTAATTTTTTAAGCCCTTCGCACGCAGGTCGAAGATATGCCAAAGCATCGCTGCATGCCTGGCCGCATCGTTTACACGGCGAATGCCTCAGGATAGCTTCGCGGATCAGTTGAGCGGAAAACCAAATTGATGAAATTCCGAAATCCTTAACACATTTTTCCTCACAAATCCCTGTGTTACAGCCTGTTTCGGTGGTGAGCTTCTACTTTCAGAACTTTGTCTTGATGATGTCACGAAAGGTAGCTCCTGTGGGCTACAATGAAGTAAATGGGAGGTGGAGCCCCTTAACTGATTATTCAGGATATTACCCTTCATTTCACTGCATACCCTTCCAGGACCAGCCCCCCACTTGGGCTCAATCCCACCCTCCGCCCAGCAGGTCTCTTGCTCTAAACGGACCGGTGGAATGTTCATTTTCTTCGCCGCGCGAGCAACGTCTTTTCCGTTTTTTGTTCTTTTCTTTGAACAATCGCTGCTGATTAGTGATGGGTTGTGTTCGTTTGCAGTATTTTGCTGGGGGTGCCCGTCTTTTTTTCTGAGTCAACTTAGCACTGGCTTTGGGACGCAAACAAACACCTTCGAGCGGATTATAATAGGTGCACACTTATATCTTCCCTTCTCCTATACAACCATCAAACAACCTTGGTAATAATTGGCAACCTGAGACTTCTACTTCGAACTCATTCAAACACCGGATCATGGAATGATGGATCAATCATTCTAATCCACAGTGACAACTTTTTTGTGCTTTTTAGTGGCTGTTGTGAAAGTGGCAAGGTGTTGCTCCGCTGCAGCTGCCAAACTGGCAGACCGGCATTGGCAACTTGGAAGCGAACTTGGCAAACCGCCTATGTTGCCTCTTTCCTATGAAATATGCCTCTGATGAAAAGCTGATGGATCGACTACACACCAAGTCACTGCATGAATCCTTGTATGCAGTCCGAGGAAGCCCCCAGACTCTCCCGTCTACTTATCAACTTCTTATAACCCACTTTCCTGTTTGATCCACTGGTACCCGCTTTCCAGATCTTTCACTGGAGCACTTTTTTAGCGCAAGAATTGTTGGAGCCGACCAGGTAGTGTGGTAATCTGCCTGTCACCCCTTAGGCACAGGCGGCGCAGCTTTTGATTGAACTGTCCAGGAAGAACTCCAAACTGCCCGACCAGGTGCCTGGAAGAACGCCGCAGCTTGCATAAGCACAGCCTGCAAGGGGTGGTGGCTGACCAGATGATTTTTGCATATCGAGTGATTCAAGTGAACTTCAAGTGATTCCTTTGAGGGCAAGCCGCCCAACCCCGAGCGAACGTCACCTCCAGCTTGGTTCCCTGGGGTCCTTCACAGCTTCCAGAGAGGTGATGGTTTCATCATTGCTCTCGGCCTGCGTGCAGCACAGTGACTTTGACTCTATTGGACGTCTAGGCAAGGGCCCTTGCCTGGTTTCAAGCGCGCACCATGCTCTTATATCCCGAACTCAACCATAGAAACAGATTGAACTGCTATTGAATTATTATGTATATAGATGGGGAGAACACGAAGGAATGCTTTTCTCTGTGTCTCAGCAACATGGAGAAGAGTTTGCATCTCCAAGCTTGTCAGTCCAATGCAAGCTTAAAGTTTGACGCCCATGATGCAAATCATTTCCATGGGAAGTATGAAGAACATGAGATCAGAGCAACACGGTTGCTCATTTTTGCCAGCTTCATTCAGTTATTTTATTAGCTCGCTCGTTCACCCGTGGTGTAAGATGCATCAAGGCAGCGGCGAAGGTTTCTGGGGGCGAAAGCAGCAAGAGATGAGCAGCTAAAGTAACTAAAGTCGGAAGGCATTTTGATTACCATTTTTTTTCTGCTAGGGTTGTTTTCTTCGCTCACGGCTGTTTCAGTCCGCGAGTTCGCTACCGGATCACGGCGAAGCTCATCTGTCCGAGTCTCAAAGCGCCTACAGTTTGGTAGAGATGCATTGATGTTTGAGCTGGGTAATGTGAGATATATAACAAATGGCAATAACAAATGGCAATAATGGCATGCAATGTTCCAGGATTGTTTTGTTCTACATTAAACCACTCATGTTGAGAGGAGGGAATACAAGCACTAAGGGTGCTGGTGGGCTTCTGGGTGGGGCAGGAACCGTGCGACACAGTGACTCAATGCAACGTCGAAAAGCAACTTCTTCAAATGAACCGAAGCCAGTGCTGGCTTGGAGACAGACGATCACATAATTGCGCATCAGGTGGGCTTGGAGAACCTCAAGCACTGCTTTGAGGCAATGCTGACTTTGTTGGGACTGTCCGGATAATAGATTTGAAGTGCAAAAGCCTTGCGGATAAAATTATAAAATTATAAAACGAGCAGATCGGACGCGAGCCTGGCTTCCTCTGAAACGGAAGCAATCTCAACATTCAAGTTGGAAGCAGTCTGTTGCTGAAAGAAAATACAAAGTGACTTCTTGAGTATCCAGAAAACAACATCCTATGAACGTGGAAGGACGGTGCATTTCCACTCTTCTCTGTGGCAATTTGGCTCTTTTTCTTGCTTATCATGGAATGCACAAGAAGGAAACATCAGCTTTTAAGCCTAAGCTTGGGGATTCAGAGATCATTTGCGAACATGGTGTTGCTGTGGGGCAGCTTTGAAAGCAAGCAGTCTTTGGTGCAAAGAATGGTTGAAGACCTGTC